CTCGGCCGTACTTCACGCCCACCCTTCAAACTTATGCTGAGCAAATCTTGGTCTATCCATAAGACTTTTGATGGTACGGTGTGAATATATCCACATTGGGTTTCTACCCGATACACTAGTTTAAGCTATAAAAATCGATCGTGTTGCTTTAGAAAATTAGAAAATAATTTCAATTCCTTCTCATTAATGTCTATAATTTATCTACACCGATCAATTGTTGTATTATTAGACCGTAAAGAAGAAAAGAATAAGAAATCGAAGCATGTACAAATAGACACAATATGATGTAATAATTTTCACTCTACATCGCGTGTTTACAATGGAATGGAAGTAAAAAAATAATTCAAGTTTATGTACATGTGTATTTACTTGTTGTGTACTTTTATCGTACATACATACTATACTCATTGAATGAATGAATAAAGAATTTTAGATTAGCCGGTATTTATTTTCTTTTTATCGCGTCACACACATGAAAGTAAGTATAACCTGGTAAATGAGGTGAATGAAGGCAAAAAACTCGTGATGAATTCAAAATTTTCTGTTTTGAGAGATGAATAAAGGTTTCATTCTGCTCTATCGCATTTCATAGACAATGAAAAAATCATAGAGATTATGGCTTAGAGGCATAAATTGGATAAATGAAAGTTCGTTTCATTCTCGTCGTCCCAATTTCTTCTGATGTGATCTTTCTTGATGGAACCAGCTGTTCTGGATGGAATTAATGGTATTATTCAGTGTTCTTGGATTTGAATGTAATTTAGACTAGGGATTATTTTTAAATGAGGTCTTACTATTGAAGGAAAGTAAAGTCTTGAGCTGATTATGTGAGATTCTTCATATAGAAGTATCAGCTATAAATAAATGCTATCACTCATGTCAAGGAAGCAGAACAAGAGATAGTTTTGATTCTCGGAAAAGACGTCATTTATGAACTAATAATCCAAATGACCTTAAATGGCAAGATTAAGGTGTAATTTAAAAGTGAAATAAATCAATAAGTTCTAGATTGAAAAAAAATTATTCAAGTATACACTTAGACTTGACATTTTCAGACATTCAATTCAAAATGAAATGAGGATATTAATAAATTATGGATATTTGGACAAAAAGTACTGATGAATAATGACTGTTCCAATTCAGCTTTAAGGCTTTACATTCACAAAATAATGAGCTGTTGTGGGTTTTACTAAATAAATAAATTTTCATGCATTAGAATTCATAAATTATCAATATAGAAAGTATGTTTAAATGATGATTTCCTATTTGAGAATTATGGATGTCTTTTTGGCGCTTAACAATGCATGCTATTGTCTGGCTTAGCGGGAAAACATTTAAAGTATCTACGCAATCTAAAATGTACAAAATCTTTTCAAAAATGTACAAAATAATTGTACAGATTAAAGCTCAAAAGCTTGATAAATTGAATCTAATTATTAAAACAATAAGCTTCCTGAGCGCGAAAGTTATTATAAGCAATGCGCGCTGTGCTAATGAATTTTTGCAAGATTTTTCATTTTCATCTCGATAAGTGGATCAAATTTCAACATTTTTCATGCCACTTTTTTCTCATAATGGCATCTGATGGTAAAATTTACAAGAAATACGGGTAATTGAAACACAAAGAAATAACAAATGTATGCAAATCAATATGTAACGAAGGCATTTGTACTTCCATTGATTACTACAAAATTATAGGAAGTGCACTTGTTGTTATTTCTGTGTATTTACATACAATGAACGTGCGTTTAGGTCAGTGGTGACGTCAGGGGTGTTGGACCTTTCAAGGGCTTTAAATCTTCATCTAAGAGCTTCAAGCAAAGTTCGCTGGATCAAAAATCATAAAAATCATGTAGTTCCTCCTTCAAAATTGCCTGATTCCAGCCCTTGCTCATGTGACACAAGCATTGCATAGATATAGAAGAGTTCTCATTCCCTCCGTACTTTTTACACATGACAGAATATGTGTTATTTATCAGGTTCCATCCTCAACGAAACATGACGCATACACTTCACCTGTCCAAATTATTCATTTTCGTTGTGTTTTTATTTTCATTCTTTTCTCATTTTTGTTCCCATACGTATGGTGCGCAGAGAAAGAAGAGAGCAAGAATGCACACAGTTCCAACCTATATTTTTCGTATGATCACGTTCATTAAGTATGCAATTCTATTGTGTCGTCATACATACGTATGTGTATATCCATACAAATTCCCGCTTTCCTCAGTTTAAAGAAAACAAAATTATTTTTATTTGTTGCTGTTGAGTGTTGAACTTGGCAACAATGTACTTGCTATATTCGCATCAGTAATTTTTATAGAAAATCGTAGCTATAAATTCATTAATGGCTTTTTGAATCGTACATTAATTTCAATAATCTTTTAATGTTGCAGCATATACGAAGAAATCTCGTGCATTATGATCAAATTATCTTGACGATTATTTAATTGAAGTAAAATTTTGAGGCAAGCACCTCATCATTAGTCTGATGCTTTGAGTTATGGATGTGAAATTGAATTTGAAACTTTAATTTTTTATTAAATAACGATAGAAACAAGGTGTGGATAATAATTTTTTTTTTGGGATCGTAGAGTGCTTTCCATCACATTATTGGTAAGGGGGGGGGGGGGGGGGGGGTGTTTATCCATTCATTACGTTTAATCTTTGAAGACCCTTCATTCCCCTTGTTACAAGATTTGTATGAAAAAATATGGAAACTAGTAGGTATTTAGCTTGGCTAGGGCTATAGGCTATAGGCTTGAGTACAAACACCACCTCCTTAGTTATTAATAAACATAACGATTAGCACCTAGTACCACTCATTTATAGTAAGGTATGAATTACTCCTGTAGTAATAAAAGGAAGGCTAAGAACTTCGTTTCAAGTCCAAAGATTCGAAAAAGTAACTGCAACTGCAAGACTCGAACCTTTGACCGCGATATTGATGTTGCAATAAATAAATAACGAAGAACTAAATCATTACGCTACAGAGCACTCAAACTATTTCAATTCTTTTGACAGACGTCATTGTTGAATGACTATATTGTTGCGATCCGTAATAATCGCAACATTAAATCGATTGAATAAATTGTATTGACACTCATGTTACTCAACATATGACTATTACTCATTAAAAAATATTTTTCTTTATTGTACTTGAGCTTTGCTTCATGTCTACAGCATATTGGTAAATATGTGTGTTTTATGGAATATAAAATTCCATTTTATGTGCCTCCATTCTTCATTTAAATTGTGTAATGAGATTGATTTTAATCGTTGTATTTTTGGCAAAATGATGTTGTTGTGTATTTCGTCACTCTTGCTTAAGCTTTCTACGGAAATGAACAATTATAAAAGCGTCAATCTGCACCAAATGGTTCCATTGTCTGGTCACGATATGCTTTAATTTTTAATTTATTTATCATTTTTCATGTAAAAGTGAAAAGTGCACCGGCAAGTGACTTTGAAGTAACAAGATCATTTTACACCATAGACTCTTGTCATAATTATTATAGTTTCTATTCATCCATTATAAATTTTTTGCAACACTTTTACTTTCATTTAACAAAATAGTTTGCGGTTTGGAAATTTGCGGCATGCCTCAGAATGGAAAGGAGAGAAAAGCTTTCAATGGGGAATAGATTGTCGTGATACAAATCAAGAAAACAGTTCATGACAGCAGCTTGAATAAATCTAATTGATTTTTTTGTTCTTCTATCTTACACAACAGGCTGTTGTGGCTGTAAATGACCATAATTTTGCATCTTAGCACATTTTTTAAAGGAAAAGATCCTGTTACTATTTGCCAGAGTGTCTACTCAAGTTACTTCTTTACCATACCCCTTTTTTCTATTGGATGTCCTATTGGAATAAAACTTGAAACGCCTCATTTTCTAAAACACCAAAGAACTAAGGATAAACAAGCTATCGACAAATTTTTCATGAACACAACTCTTCCTAAAGCAAAATGCGCTTCTATGGACCACAAACTGACCACAAGTGCATCTGCTGTTTTAATGAATGTTCTCTTGTTTATCAACAAATGATAATTACGGGTATCCAACAGAGAACATGAGCCTTTTGCATATCATTTAATGAACACTGATGTGAGGAGAACTTGACGAACGTTTGTGCATTGTGACTGGACATAACAAAAGTAAAATTTCGTTCACAGTAACGGTTCTTTAATTGCCAATTGATTCTTTACCTTCACTCATTCAATTTATGCATTCAAATTTTGTTTTTTATGCATCACAGACTTTGGTAATTGATAGTTGTCATGCTTTTTAGCACTCTTGATTTTTGAGTTGATGATAATAAAGTTTCAACATCGACAGTCGGTGCTTAATGTGTATTTCTTAATTCTTCCGTTGAAAAACTTTTTTCTCTGTTTAATGAGCTGTCATTCAGGGATTTCGAGTATATTGAGAGGTATTGAGTGCTCTCTTGAGATTATTGATGTTGCTTAATTTTTGGCTGTCGGAATATTGAATTAAGCAAATTACTTTTACTTTAGTGCTTCATATTCTTACTTAATTGATTTATTCTTCTTTGCACTCACTTGATAATAAGAAAGCATTAAGTGGTATTTGGCAAGGCAGGCGACAGTTTTTGTGATGAGAATAAATAGTTTAGGGTTTATTGTGCTTTGATAATGGCAATATCGAAGTTAAAAACAGTTATTGACAAATAAATGCTAACATTTGATTTGCAATAAAAATGGCTTAAAGCAAGAGAATGCTATTGTGGCAGTGACCACGAGTCCAACGATTAAAGGGTGACAATTGTCATTTACACACTTATATAGCGTCGGAACTTCAAATATGGCTACAAAGTTCGATCAAAACAAACTGGTGGAACCAGACAATTAAAATCATAAGACTCAAAAAATCCAGAAAGCTTCAAAAGAAGGAATAATAAAAAAGTTATCAAATATCTTACTTCCAACACTTTTAAAGCCCTGCTCAATAATTTATTCATGTTCAAAATTTCAAACTTACCTCGACAAGTTCTGAAGCTTAGTGCTGAATGACCCCATAAAAGCATGGGATTTTTAAGTCGTAGGTATGCAGATCCATTAAAGTATGCTTCTCGTGGCTCAACACTCAGCGCATATGATAATGATGATTTTTCACATATTTGCAATAATATCACAAAGACATTGAATGCTGGAAGGAAGAGATGAATTTTATTATAATGACAAATTTTGAGGTCACTTCTTGTATCAGCACTTCCAACACTGAAAATAATGATTCATTCTGATATAAAAAAAAGGTTTTCACTGTGATTATTATTATTTTTGATCGTCACTCCGTTGATAATTTTTAGGTCACAGAAACATATTTTTGGGAATATACACAGCACAGCACATATATGTGTTCAAGATAGTTGTCAAACAACATAACAGTTCTCTTAGAACCAAGCAGCTTACTTTTTGGTGTCAGTGTCATTTTGTTGTTAAAACTGACTCTGCACGGTTCAAAGATGAACAAAATTTTGACAATATTATTCTTAGTGATCAAAATAGTGGCAGTAAAAAGTGACGAACTAGATCCTTACATACAAAATGTCAAGTTTTATGTGTTCAATAATATGTGAGTTAATCTGGTTCATTCATGCATTTAAATCTTTATATTTCACATTCTCATGATTTTCTCAGCACGAATGAGTCACACATCTCGACATTCAATGAAAGTCTGACAAAGTTTAATTGCGATCCGTACGGTAAATTTGCCTTTGTGATTCATGGCTGGATGGAGGGAATCTATACGGAATGGGTTAATGATACAATAGGAAATTTAACACATTATCGTGGTGGATGTGTTGTATTCATGGATTACTCAGTTTATTCTCAGAGGGATTATTTCTTCGGACTTGTGCCGCATTTTAAACAGCTTGCAAGTCTACTGACTGAGCGTATACGTCAGACGACTTCATTCTTTGAAAATGTATTTATGTTTGGATTTAGTTTTGGCGCGCGATTGTCTCTTGAGACAGGCGCAAAAATTGGATATAATTTAATCGATCATATTCAAGTCTGTGATCCCGCTGGACCTGGATTTGACAATGAGGCAAGGACAGTTGATCCAAAATTATCTGCCAAATTTGTTTATTGTATAAATACAAGCACTGAATATGGGTCACAATACTATAATTGTCATATCAATTTTCGTATGGGAATTTGTGGACGTCGACAAATTGGAGCTACTGTTAGACCATGTAGATCTCATGGCCTCTGTGTAAGATAATATAGAATTATTAAGTCATTCGTGATTTAATTTTCTGTTCCATTTTCTAGCCCTATTTCTTTAATTCTGCTTTTGAGAATAAGTTTATGCCTAACAACTATTACAAATGTAAATCACCTCGAATAGCTGAAAACATTCCAGACGATTTTCGAATGGGTTATATGGAAACAAGAAGGTCGTGAGTCTCATCAATATTCAAAAACCTTTTAGAAATTAATTTTAATCTGCATTAATGCTTCTTTTAAGGTATCTTTATGAAGGAGATGTGTTCATTCCTACTGCTAAGACAAGTCCATGGAATGTCTTGAATAATACAGTCTTATAAATGATTTTGATTTAGCTGTGCATTTAACTTGGAGGGGGGGGGGGGGGTACTAATAGAAGCTGGCGTGTCCACAGAATCGTAAGAGTTTCTTTTGACACATTATTCAGATCTCGATTCCTGAGTTAGACGTTATTTATGAACAAACCCTAATCTGGTTTTTAATCATAATTTTGTTACAAATTGTCACTTGATTATTATTTTAAGAATGTTGTAAGGAATTTTTATTTTAGGCACTAAACATCAGTTCCACAAATTCACACACCGAATCAAAAGAAAATTTATTTAAATTGGTTTTAAATTGTTCTTATTTATTATCTGTTTCAAGTCAAAAGTGATCAGTATAAATCTTAATAAACTTAAAGAGGGTAATGTAATGGTCGAGTGACTTCCTTAATGATTCTATTTCTTAAAACTAGCTTTGTTCCTTTTTTTATGACTTTTTGAGAATTAAATGAGTTTCCAGGATGTTTACATTATTCTTATCTTGCAGTGCCAACACATATTATTTAAACGAATATGAAGTTAAATGTGAGAATCGTTGAATGTTTGGAAGCTGAAGTTTAGGTTTTAAAAAAACTGCCATTAGTCTGCTGCATTACCTTGATTTATATAATTAATTAGTTAAACATTTCCAAATTCTCCAAAAAAGTAGTGCTCTCTACAGAGCAAGAGTCTACTTTTGTAATAGCATCGTCACGCTTCCATGCGATTCTCATCCGCAAATAACAAACAAATGGCAGAAAACGATGAGAGAAGTTAAAAAGTTTTATTAAGTTTTGAAATCTCACGACGTTTGCCTTAATTATTATATTTTTTTTTATGAATTTTATCTTTTTGCATCGAATGGAATTTCATATTTCTTTGTTGATTGGATTATGAGCTGTCATAGCTTTCAACAGTTTACGTAATCTTATCTACGAATTGCATCTGGGGAAGAAGAAAGGCTGTTTTAATGGTAAATAAAGCTTTTAAGATTGTAAACAAATGATGTATGTACAATACAATGGAAATTTCATACTATCGCCAACTATTGACTATTTCACACCCCTTTTGACGTTACTATAGTTATGACATACAGCCTTCCTTTCTTACTAACGTAATAACACCCTCTAAATTGCAGTAAGATCGCTTTAGTTGAAGCAGAAAATTGAAGCGAATTTTTTTAAGTGATGCGAAAGTGTTTAGATTAAATTGATTGATGCAAAAATATATATTTATTTCCTCTGTTGAAGCCACATTTTTGCTCTATCTAATCAGTGATGCAAGAATTTTTAAATTGATGTGAAAATTATGCATCAATTGAAACTTAAAATTGCATGAATTGATGCAAAAACTTTGCATGAATTGATGCGAAAACTTTGCATCAATTGAAGCAAACAAGAAGACAAGGATGCGAATTTAAGAATCAACTTTTAACCCAAGCTAAGTCGAGCATATATTGGACATGATTATGTGTCTTTAATGTTTGGGAAAATTAAGAAAGGTTAAAGAAGAAAAGACTTTAAATCAATAACACAATAGTCACAAAGGCAACATTTAATCTCTCAAATTATCCCTCATTATGGATATACATCTACAGTTCTTTAACTATTTACTCTCACGATTTGTTTAGCCAAAAAAGAAAAATTCGCGACCATGAAGCGAAGAGAATTCTGTGGAAAGCAAAAATCGCAATTCTTTCAGTCTAAATTGCGAGAATCAAAAAGATTTCTCCATTGCTTTGATTGTTAATGCACGAAGCTTTAATTTACTGAGCTGTTCTTATTGTATTTTCCGTTTCTGTTTCTTCTTCATTTTAAACCTGACTCTTTTGTTATAAATTCTATAATTTATGAATCATATTGTACACAATTGCTTGGTTCTTTAACTGTTCTTATCTTCTTGTCCCTCATTTACAAATTTCGAAAAGCGATGCTAGATTTAATAATCAGATTATTGCTGTTAGATATTATCCACGATCATTTCAAGGACCATTAAAGCTGTTATTTTTTTTCGACGCTGAAAAAAAAATCACTAAATGTCAACAGCTGTAGCTTAAAAATCACATGGCAATAAGTTCACGTGTGTGAAGGTCGGATATTATTGTAAAACTTTTTATCAGTTGTTTTACTCATAAAAAAATTGTTTACTGTTTAATATAGACAGTATCGAAAACACACTTACTTCATCAACTTGTGTTTGTTGATGAAGTGGGTGTCGTCGAAAAAATCAGGAAATGCTAGTAATATTTTAGATACATTATTGCATAACGATCATGAGCTGTAAAGTATCTTCAATAAATTGCTGATTTCGTAAATCTTAACGATTCTTAAGATACCAATTTCTAGCTTAACAATTGCTGATCTCAATTTTTAAGTTTAAGAAGTTGCATCGAAGTTTCTTTATTGCTCCACCACAAATCTTTCCAACTTCTTCAATTCCAATTTCAAATTCGTTGAATTCAACTTAATTATTTCCAACTTTAATGTTTTGCAATATTGGGGCCGTTCACTTATTACGTTCGCATTTTAGGGGGGAGGAGGTTTGAAAAATTTTAACAAAATATAACAAAAGGGGGGGGGGGGGGGGGGATGTCAAGAAGCATGTTACGTTCTAACTGTCGTCTGTCTTTAAAAAAAATTCACGAAAAAAATTTGTTTACAAATTCACACAAAAAACATTTTTTTAAATTTTCCACCTTTTTAATGATTTATGAAAAATTATCAAAATAAAATAAATTACGAACGTTTAGGGGGGGGGGGGGGAGGGGGGCACAATGATTCAGATTCGGAAAAAAATGTTCAAAAATTCCTTGTGCACAATATTTTTTCCGACACATTAGAAAATTGAAAGTTTTTGTTAATTTCTGTTGATTTGATTCTTTTAGCATCTTCTACATAATGTTTTCGTTCATTGCTCAAAAAATCAGTCCTTAATATAAAGGATAAACATGATTTTTTATCAAAAGTTTTTAAAAGTTTATCAAAAAATATTGTGCATGATCAAATTTTGTATGAAAATTTATGTAAACTTTGATCGCAAATATCTCGAAAACGGCATCAAACGGCATGTCCTCAGTAATATGGGAGATAGATTTAAGCTTAATTAATTGATTTATATAGGTTTCAGAGAGGTCTTTGGAAGACTTTTTAACTTATGAATAGTTTAAGTTTTGTAAAAACACTCAGATTTCAATTCCATTTTTAAGGCTTAATAAGCAGATTTCTATTGAGTTTGTTGTTTTGATATGTAAAGCTAAGCTTAAATTAGCTAGCAACTGCTTTCAAGACATCCAAATAACAACTTAAAGTAGAAAAAATCATATTTCTTTTTTCATACTCAAATTGTAAACAAATTTTGGGTGAGATTAAATTAATGATTTCTGGAGTTAGACAGCAAATAGGAACGAGATATTTTTAAAGGATATGCACAAAGGAAATATCTTTAATCTGGCATTTAAAAGACAAAGTTTAATTAACATGAAATTTTTGAATTTTTGAACATTTTTTTCGATTCTGAATCATTGTGGGGGGGGGGGGGGGGGTTGTGCGTTGTAACATAGTGTAAAAAGTCGTTTTTGCGTAACGTAATAAGTGAACGGCCCCATTTCACTATGCATATCTTTTCAAACTTCCAACTTCTACAGATGAGCTATGTTAATGATATATTAATTCTGTATGTATCAACACATATATTAAGCATAAACAATCTGTCTATACCAAACTTCTTCCCAATCAAGTGAGTGTGCTTTATGGCGTGTGTGTTTATTTAATTTGATATCATTGCAATAAACTGATAAGAAAACTATATACTAACTGCCATGTATGGCTTAATATCAGTTCAATAAAAAAATAATAAACAGTTAAGCAAGTAAAAACAACCGCGAAAAATAATGAATTTATTGTCTGTGACAACAGCCTGGCTTTAATATATTGTAGTTAACACTATCAAAATCGTATATCATATGCTGAAAAGATCAACAACCTAGATTTAAAGATCATATTTAACAAAAAATATTTTATACATGGATGTAAAAAAGAAATTTTATTCTTAAAGAGGAAAAAAAGGTATAAAGAATGCCGGTTTACACTGTCGACTATGAATAAGAAGGCAAAGACGAAATAAAAAGCATAAAAAGAAAGAGAAAAGCTTGAAAGAAGAACGCTAAATGTGTGAAGTACGTCCAAAATAAATGTGTCAATCGGTTAAATTCACAATCAATAATGGATTCTTTACTGTATCAAGATTGTACTATTCAATAGCTACTAACGGGATCATTATGGAATTTCTGCAAGATTATTAAATTAAAGACACTAGAAACTTTTCGAAGAAATTCCTATAAAGCCATTTCCTAGGCGGAATTGCGATGTCATTTAAATTTATTAAGCCAAAATGCCAGCACAATAATTTTTGACTATATTTATTACTTAAATTTCATAATTGCTGACATAAATTTTTCGGACCTTGTTTCTATTATTGTTTGCCATTATTATTTATTTTTGGAAAGCTTTAACTTCCTAGATTAGACTTGCCAAATTTGATTGTTAAATAACTCATGATTTGAATTTGCTGTTGAATGGTAACGAATATTTTGAATTTTCTGTTGAATGGTTTTTTTTAACGAATGTTTTTAATTTGCTGTTGAATGGTTTTTTAACGAATCATTTTAATTTGCTATTGAATGGTTTTTTAACGAATGTTTTAATTTGTTGTTGAATGATTTTATAACGAATGTTTTTAATTTGCTGTTGAATGGTTTTTTAACGAATGTTTTTAATTTGCTGTTGAATGGTTTTTTAACGAATGTTTTTAATTTGCTGTACGTTTCAACTATTTTTAAAAAATTAAATTAATTAAATTACAGCTATTGTTCATGCACGTCTTAGAACACTGTGAAAAATTTTATTGTCAGGCACAATGAATTGTTTAATTACAGCACATATTTCATTACCGCGATGAATTTGCATAACTTAGATTAAACTTAACTAACGTAAAGGTTTGAGTAAATAACAAAAAAAAATCAATATGAATTACAGTAAACGTATTCAATGCCATTGTTTCGAAAAACTTACTTAAGTGAGAATAAAAATTCTTTTTGGGTAGTTATTAATTGTATTTACTGACACCCAACATGTTTGAACAGCAAGAAATAAAAATCTCAGTCATGTTGAAATTGAGTGACTCATAAAATTTGTAATCGAATTATGACTGCATGTAAGTTGGCATTTGGTATGGTATTATTGATAGACAGCGAATGTGAAAGTGTGTAGCAATATTAATAGAATTTTTTCACACGACCATGTGTTACTTTATTTAAGGAAAATGGAAGTTCCAACAATTTCTACCTTGACCTACCAGAAAGTATATTTTTTTTATCTTCCTTATAAATGCACGCCGGGGTCATAACACTAAATCCATAAAATTCTCATTAGACTCCACAGACGAGAATCATGTAGGAATAAAAAGACAGAAATTAAATCACTAACGTTAATGCGTCGGCGAGAGGTAAAGAAAAAGTTGTGTAAAAGGAATAATCGACATCAATTGTAAGGCATGAGAGAGAAATAGTTAAAACAGAACTTAAAGAAGAAGGGCAAAGTGGAAGAAAGGAAACAGGTATGCTTTTCATAAATAAATATAGACGAGGGTCAGGTAGAGTTATTTTTGTCGTTTTTTCTGTGTTGTATAAGAACAATCTAGTCATAAAAACACGAATCTACAAACACAATTCAAAGTTTTTAATTTTGGATAGAAGGCAAAGAAGAATTCCATCTCCACACGTTACGTTCGTAGTTCTTATATGTGGACGATGGCGGTTAAAAAAAAATAAGAGATAAAACTCGCGAAATTTTCTCTGGTTCCATTGTTTGTCCAGATGTGTGCATGTATGGCACACAAATGTGTGTGTTTTGTGATTCCTTCTGTTGCTGATTCTTTGCAACAAAAATAAAAAAAAAAACATTGAGAAACTAGTTATTTAGCATAAAATTAATGCCTTGAAGGAAAGAAATTTTGATGCTTTAGCATTTTTCATTTCCTGGATCTTACAAGAGCAGTAGATAATCCAGATTTATGTTTGAGCACTTAATTAACACTGAGTAATGCTTACATGACTTAGCGTTATAATATACGTTGAGTCTAGCTGAATTTCAGTTGAGTCAAGCAAAAAAGCATGCAAACTTTAACGAAAAATTGTTATTCCCAAATTCATCTCTCAATTGTGAGTTGCGAACCGAAATTCTTACACGTGCTAGAATCAAGACAGGCATTAAACAGATACGGAAAACAATAAACTTTAATTCATATTACTGTTGTGTCAATATAGAATATCTTTAAAAATTAATAGTATTTTTTTCACATAATTTCTCATGTTTCAATTAGTCGCAGGCATACACAGCAATCCCGATCGGGCAATACATAAAAATTTCAGGTGTATTGTCTATGAGAGGCACACATAACACAAATACAAACTTGATTTTTTTTACATTCTTTGTGAAATATTCACTTAATATTTGAGCTTATTTGACGCTTTCAATCAAGATATTTTGTTCCTTGATAAAATGCCACAAATTTTCATATTGGAACTGACATTTTTCTTTTATATGAACACAAATTAACTCGAAATTGAGCACAATTAATGATTGCAGCACACAATAAATCCACATTCTTTCGAGTATTAGGAAGTGATGATGAATCATTATTTTCTGAGACGTTGAGGCTTTCTTTTGAGGACACACGACACCTACCACACACTAAACTTGTTTTAATATCAAATTTCATGTTTTTTATCACTAAAGCCGCACGATAATCATTGAAATATTCAAGATAATTGATTTAAAGAACTTAAAAACTGAGAAAAATTAATATTTTAATTATTTTTTTAAAACTTAAGCTCGTCTACATTTACGTTCTGATCGCTTTAATGTCCAACGCTCAACTGAGAGGTAGAAATAAATTTTACTTTTTTTTTTGAGCAAGAGAAGTTAACCAACACTATGGAACAAGTGTAGAGGCAATAAACACAATGTGAATGAAGGAATTGAAGAAAAACAACAATACAAATTTACCTGTAACACGTTGCTGTTTGCCGCACATGATTTTTTATTTTGAAACGTGATTTTCTCGACTGTAATAATTATTATGGGATCAATAAATTAAAAACTACACTATAATTAATGTTTGGTTTGATAAGAAAATATCCATCTGGCATTTTTTTATTCTTATTTAAAACAATCTTTCAATACATCAGCAGTAAGTAATTACACCCCATCACATAGTACATACTCTTTTCTCATCAAAAATTTAACTACAATTGGATTTTCATCAACAACCTATATGTATGTATTATTACTTCTTTTTTTTCGTCATTAATTTGTCAAGGAAAAATATACATAAGTACTTTGATGGTCGTTCATAAATGATGCTCATCATATATTAGGTTTTTGCAGACCCCCCCCCCCTTGCCCGTCTGTCACAAAATTTGGTTTCTTTTGGATCTCCAAAAATTGAACATCATTTATGAATGACCCTTAATGAGTCATTTATTACTTCTTTTTCATCTTATTAAGGTATTCACTTTCTAAATGGCAATCATGATTTTTTTTATAGGTATTATTAAATAATGAGATGAATTGCATTAAAAATCGATCAATTGGATCTTTTTGAGTTGTGCTTAAATAAACTATTGTGCAAACATTTTTATTCTAAAGGATTAAGGCCATGAAGTGGTATGAATCATATTAATTTTCAAACGGTTTTTTGAAATTCAAATGAATTTGAACAGAAAGTTCAGTTCAGTTCATTTGAAAATTTGGAAACCGTTAAATTTGAACGAAATTTTTTGTATTAAAGAACTTTTAAGATTCTTGACACAACTTTACTTTTGATCGACTTAATGCAGCTTACGAAATGTAATTAAATTCAAATTATCTAATGATGAATAATTTAGTGCTGTTGCCATTTATCTCATGAACACCTTAATTAAGTTTTTGCTTCTTTTTTAGGTTTATTCTATTAAATATAAATTCTTTGATAAAACATTTCTTTGAAATTGTTCAAAACAAGACATTAAGGAACTTAAAACAGAAGAGATCATCAATTGATGATTTTCTAACGCCAAAAAAATATAATTTTAAGCATAAATTCGATAAACTTTTATGAATTATAATGTTGCATTGTCTCATTCAACGTCGTGTTGAATTTTGTCAACAGTTGATTAAATATGTCTGTCATAGAGAATCGTAAAAAGTTTACGATTGATAACAGATGATGAGAGTCGTCTCAATGCCATGTGTAGTAGTTCATCTTAATATTTTTTTTTATCGGTAAATAAAGCATAAGCACGTACAAAATAAAGAAATTTAATTTAATTTGTGTCATATTAAACATTAAAAGTAAAAACATCTCGTTCTGTCCTTAATAACAAAGTTAGATTAAAAACATAAAAGCATTCACATAACATTTATGTCTTATAGCCTTACATGCTAATTAATAGCTTATTAATCAGTAATTGTTTTATTATTTTTTTTTGGTAATTCTTTATGCTGTTGATCAATGTTGCATCGTTTAATGCAAGCTGACATAAAAATTGACTAGATAAAATTAAATATGAAAAAAAATAATTCATTAGAAAAAGTGATTTTAACGGAAAAGTGACTGCTCAACTTTGATTGCTTATTTTGTTAGGTGATGCTCGATGGTGATGTACTTATAGCATAAAGTTTCAATCTATATCATATTATTACATTAAGAATTTTAAGCATTTACTTTTTCTCAACAATAATTTGTAAATTTATGGTTAAAAGAACAATATGCTGTGTCTTCTCATATAAGGATTATTTCCTTTACATGTTGAATTGTCTCTATGTGATTCATTTAAAATTCAGTAATGTAAATTGAGTTCAACTTTGAGTCAAAAGATTAAGGTCTGTGAATTTTTAAATATGACTGGATATCCATTAAACCTGAATATATTTGATTCTTGATTCAAAATTAAAAACATTCTCTGATTTTAATGCCCTTTTGAGGGAAATACTTTCAATCATAAAGTCCAAAATTTGATATACTATGACTATTTAGGACATTTGATGATGGCACAAAGTTAACAATTAGCTGGGATTCTACTCGGTTGATATTGGGGCCGTTCACTTATTAAGTTTTGCAAAAAAACGACTTTTTTCACAAGTCAAAAAGTAATTAAATCCTAGCTAATCAGCTTGTTGTACTCTCTTGACATCCAGCATGAGAAGACACGATACACATATTAAGTTAAACTACTTAAATTTTACTTTTACAACAAATTTTAAAGCAAAAATAACTTTGTTAATAAATAAAAGCACAACATAATTTATAGAACTGATTACATGAATATAAATGAGTTAAAATGTGTCCTTAAAATTAGCAACTAAATTATACTATGGTCAATATTAATTCTAGTTATTTGATATAATGTTTTTTTTTTTCTTTCTCGTTAAATTGATCGTACGTTCATGATTTATGGAGAGATATACTCCGTGCGAGCAAAAACTTTGGCTTTTCGGTGTTAATTAAAGAAAAATAAAATAGTAATATATCATTTTAATAAGGATGATTCGCAAGGTGAGCGCAACAGAAATGTTTTTTTTTTAATGTGGTCTTTTTGGATCGCCGTTAAAACGAAATTTCTTACCTCCACGGGATCCATTCATTGCTGTACTTAATGCTGGTGTCGTGGTCGGTGATAGTGTTATTTCCGATACCCGATCACTGAGAAAGTCTCTCAAGTGCTGAACAATCAAATCAATAGCAACTGAAAGATAAAATACAAAAAATAACAGAATTAAGTATGCAAAAAAGAAGGTTTTTGTGTTTTCATGAATTCAGTTCTTCCCATTTTCCTTTAATTTTTCTTATTTTTTTTTTGAAAAGGCTCTGTTCATTATTTTTAAAAAATCAATACAAAACATTTCGATTAAGTAACATTAGTATTACAATTATGTGGCACATAGACATATACGTATGAGATATATAAAAAAAATCATTAGACACAAGTAAGTAATTTTGCTGCTATAAATGATTAAGAGGTATAAAAAGTGACACTTTAGCTCGGAAACTTTAATTAAACTGTTTTTGCTTTTGAAAAGGAATGTAAATCCAAATTTTGTATGTGCTATGTCTGTCTCTAAAATATCTAACATTTTGAGGAATGCAAATACACAAATTTTGTGCTCTAAAATTGTTAATTCTTATTTTTCTTATTTTTCACTTTTGGAATCTTAAAAAAATCATTCTTTTTGTATATAAAATGTGATGGAATCATGGCGTAATCGTTGTAGTAAGTTCATCTGTTCATTTTTAGCACCCATCATAATCTGTGATTGATTACAAATACATAGATCCATTATTGTAATGGCCGTTCATTCCGTTTGTTCCAGTGCTTGGATGTAAGAGTTCTTGCACATGATGAACAATCAGGTTTATAGCAACTGAAAATGGAGATATCATTTTACACTTCGATGTTGATTTAAACACTTAAAGTTTAGAGCTTTTTGGTAAACATAAAATAATTATAACGATATCAGAGCCTCTCAAAAAAATTATATGACTTTTTTATAATGAGAAGAAGCATTAATCCCGCAAAGAGAAACACATTCAATGAGCTAGCTATGAGGCAGAATTCAAAAAAGGGGACGTTCACTTCAAAAAGTGAATTTTTTTGTAAAGGACTTCAAAACAGACTTTTATGCTAAGTTTCAGGTCATTTGGTGCTGTTTTGCAATTCTGTGACTGTTTAAAGTTGAACGTGACGATAAAAGTGGCAAAAAGTCTGTTTTGAAGTCCTATACAAGAAAAAAATCGCTTGAAATCATCATTCGAAGCACTTGCTTATTGAAGTGGAAGTCTCCTTCTTTTGAATTTTGCCCCATAGTGGAGCTGATAGACTCACCAGTATTGTCTGCGCCTCTCGGAATTATTACCTAAAATGAATCATTGAGTAATGAGAAACCAAAGCAGACAAGTGTATCGGGTAGAAACCCAATGCGGTCATATTCACACCGTACCATCGACAGTATATTGGTATTAGGTAAAGCGTCGCTTGGCAAATGGTTGACTGTTTAAAGCTAAAAGAGTTAGCTGAGCTTAGTATATGATTGAAAGATTTAAAGTTTGACAAGTTAGCTGAGCTTCGCTCAGTGGTCTATTTTCAAAAATTAGCGGCAATCGAGCACTTTTTGGAAAAGTTTTACCATTTTCCTTCCAATATATCTCATTTGAAAGCTGACATCAATACGAGATGATTCTATAAGTTTAAAGTTTTTTCGTCCATCTGGTGCCGAGAAGCAGGTCCTTAAAGTTGAGTACAGACGAATTTTCAGTTTTTTGAGATCCTTTATTTAAACTCAATTTGCACGAAAACTACTCAACCAAATGAAAAACAGTTTTTGGTTCCTCAAAGAACATAATAGTACCTATGTTTTAGTGTATCATAGTATTTGAAAAATTTTACCAAATGTAGTAGTGGCAGATTTAGTATGATAAATTAGGGTCAAATCAGACTTGAAAACTTGATCGACAAATTTGACAAACCGACATAGAGCAATCTAATGGGTATAATGAGATGCCAATTTTGCGAGATGAAAGTTTGTACTATTAAATAAATGTAAAATTAATATATTAGATTTTAATTCAGGTAGTTTGCGACTATCATGATTTTCTATAGTGTGATTTGACCCTAATTTATCATACTAAATCTGCCACTACTACATTTGGTAAAATTTTTCAAATACTATGATACACTAAAACATAGGTACTATTATGTTCTTTGAGGAACCAAAAACCGTTTTTCATTTGGTTGAGTAGTTTTCGTGCAAATTGAGTTTAAATAAAGGATCTCAAAAAACTGAAAATTCGTCTGTACTCAACTTTAAGGACCTGCTTTTCGGCACCAGATGGACGAAAAAACTTTAAACTTATAGAATCATCTTGTATTGATGTCAGCTTTAAAATGAGACATCTCCGAAGACTTATGGTAAAACTTTTCCAAAAAGTGCTCGATTGCCGCTATTTTTTAAAAATAGACCACTAGCCACTAGACCACTAGCCACTAGACCACTAGCATATGGTTGAAAGTTTAATCCAGAAATTTCCATTATTTATTTTGTCATACTTGAAATATCTTCGAAATTAATTTTTGCTATTATTATATATTTTTTGCTACTATTATTATAGACAAAAGAATTACAGTTTCATTAAAAATAATAGCAAAAATTCATTTCGAAGATATTTTAAGTATGACAAAATAAATAAAGGAAAATCTCGTAAAAAACTCAATGTAAAATTCTGGAACTGTCTGCAAACATAAATTTTTGTTGCTTAAATACTGTATGACTAGAATAAGTACAATAAATAACGTTTAAAGCTCAAAATTTTGTTTGTTGTTGTAATTTATAAAAAAATTAATTAATTAAACTAGGCATAACATTTAGCTGACTTCACTTTGCTAATTTTAAACAAACTTGCAAGCAGCTTTAAAAATAGTAAATAGTTATCATCCTTAAAGTATTTATAAAAGAAAAGCTGAAAAATTTATAATTCGGTTAAACGAACTTCGCGCATCTTCCTTGAAAAAGGAAAGAATTGCGTTCCCCATTTTTTCTTGTAGAAGACATTAGACTTGTATGCCAAATTTTAGGTCATTTGTTTGAAAAAGCGGTTTCTAGTTCTTAATAGTGGATTTATTTTAATATCCTGCAATGATTTTAACTTTTCAGTTTTCGTACCGATATGTACGAAAATGCTAGGAAAAATATTTTCAAACGTGCCGCAAGTATCTTAGATCACCGAGTTCTAGGGGGTTAAACTAGACCAACGTGTAGAACTTGACTTCTAGTGTGGGTGACCATCGATTTTAAGAAAAAAAAAACTTGACATACAAGTCTATTTCATGTATTCTACAAGAAAAAATTACAAAAGTCCTCGTGATCGAGGGACTTCAGCGAATTTTTGACGCAGCGATCAGTATTTGATTTGTAAGTTCGTTCGTACAGAGAAAAACTGTTAAATCAGTCATCGGTAAATAACATGATAATACATAATATGAATCCATAATGACGTTAAATGCAGTCAATTAAAGAAATAATGACAAAAAACTTTGAACAAAATATTTTTTTCACTCATGGAATCGCCCTATAGTATTTACACACTGTTTTAAGACTTTTAACTGTTCGATGGGAAGATAAATCGATAGTAACGGAGCAAATAAAACAATCCACGTTGATCGAAAAAGTGAAAAGTTTGTCAAAAATTCAGCTTATATTGTAGACATTGGTCCCTAGTTTATGGGAAAAATATTTTTTTTCTCCGGAAGTGCCTGATCCACGAGAAAAGAGGGTTTGAATTTTTGTACTTGATGTAATTTTTAAAATGCTATTGTGCTTCACCTGCTTATCCGTTTGTCTTCAAACTTTTTTATTTGATAGATAAAAGTAAGAGCTTTCTTATGAATATCCACTAGATATTTTTTTGATGTATATTGGTTCCTAAAAGTTGAAAAAAGTTCGAAAAAACTAGGTTTTTTGTAATTTTTTGGACCTCATGACTATATAAGGCTTTCTAAAAATTTTTAAATTGCATTTTTTTGTAGATCTCATTTATACCTACAAACAATCCATACATAATCTACAGATTTTATGTAGTTTGAGTAGTGAAAATTAACTTTGAAGTCAAAAATTTGCATATTTTTTGCTTTATTCTCAATTATGATCCACTGTCCACGTCCGGCTCCCAAATTTTATTTCATTAATTTGTAGATTTTCGTATGCTCTATCAATTAATGCAATAAGAAAAAAGAATCACTCGCCGGAAAGCTTCAAAATATGAGCCTAAAGTTGGCCTAGTGAGGTATCTCAAAATTCAAAATGAATTTTTACATACCAGTCTTAATGAAAGGAACTGAAATTTTCAGGTTTTATTCAAAAAGCAATGTACTTAACATCCACAACAAAAGTTTTTAATTAAAAACACAATTTGCTTACACAAGATTTAAACTAGTTATAGTAGCTTAATTGAGAATTTAATGGTTTCATAACATCATATATCACTTTTTGCCTAAATTTTCAACAAATTGTGTTTTTAATTAAAAACTTTTGTTATGGATGTTAAGTACATTGCTTTTTGAATAAAACCTGAAAATTTCAGTTCCTTTCATTAAGACTGGTATGTAAAAATTCATTTTGAATTTTGAGATACCTCACTAGACCAACTTCAGACTCATATTTCAAAGCTTTCCGGCAAGTGATTCTTTTTTCTTTTAGCATTAATCAATAGAACATACGAAAATCTACAAATTAATGAAATAAAATTTGGGAGCCGGACGTGGACAGTGGATCATAATTGAGAATAAAGCAAAAAATATGCAAATTTTTGACTTCAAAGTTAATTTTCACTACTCAAACTACATAAAATCTGTAGATTATGTATGGATTGTTTGTAGGTATAAATGAGATCTACAAAAAAATGCAATTTAAAAATTTTTAGAAAGCCTTATATAGTCATGAGGTCCAAAAAATGACAAAAAACCTAGTTTTTTCGAACTTTTTTCAACTTTTAGGAACCAAAATACATCAAAAGTATATCATGTGGATATTCATAAGAAAGCTCTAACTTGTATCTATCAAATAAAAAAAGTTTAAAGACAAACGGATAAGTAGGTGAAGCACAATAGGATTTTAAAAATTACATGAAATACAAAAATTCAAACCCGCTTTTCTCGTGGATCAGGGACCAATGTCTACAACATAAGCATATAAGCAAAATTTTTGACAAACTTTTCACTTTTTCGATCAACGTGTGTGAGTTTAGTTGATCTTTTTCATTTTTACACTTGAGTTCCTCGCTTACATGATGAGTTCAGAGAGAATCTTTTTTCCTGATTTATTTGCAACGTTGCAGTTCCATTCTCGATGTTTTGCATTGAAGTCTCCACAGATGTAGTAATTTCCTCTCAGATTTGTTATTTTGTTGATATCATCTCTGAGATGTTGATCTATTTACCCTTCTTTGCTTCCTCCTGGGAGATAGACTTGTTGTAGCTTGGTTGAAGCTAATGTTTTAGATTTCTTTTGACGATGATTGCAACACCACCTTTTGGTCTATCCACGCGATCCAATCGATGAATTACGTGGTCTGGATGCGAATCAATTTTTGAGTTTGGTTTTAGGAATGTTTCTGAGATGCAAGCAACATCGACGTTTTGCTTGCTTAGGTAGTCGAGGAATGCTAACATTTTGTCAGTGAGGCCGTTAGCATTCCAGTAGAGGCGTAGTGGATTTTTGGCGATTAATTTGAGAAGCTCGCTGATGAGGTACTTGCACTTTGATTCCTCTATTTCTGAGATGTTTTTATCTCTTGTGCTGGTTCTTTGAGCTTGTTGATTAGTTGTTATGTTTCGATTCACTACCTCAGCACTGAATGAAGGTTCTGGGAAGACTTCATTCGAGGTCTGACTTGTTGGAATGATGTCTTCTGAGTCCATAAGGTCAACATCTTGCTTTGGTTTTTGATGTTGATTGTTGTTATTAATGCTCTCGTTTTGCTTTTTTCTTTGATTCTTTATCCAATGTTTTCCTCTTTCTTTATTGTTTTGTTGGTTGTTCAAGTTATTTTTTTATTTCCCTGATTTGAGGGTTTGTGATTTGGAGGAGGATTTATGTTCCTTGGTTTGTGGTTGACTGGAGCTTGTTTTTGATGAGCAGGCTTTTGTGTGCTAGATGTTGATGGTTCCACATTCTTCTTTCTCCATTGAGGTTTTGGTGCATGTTGGACGTTTCTGGTTGATCGCTCAGGAAGATGCTGAATTGGAGGATTGTTTCTCCGTTGTCCAAGTTGTCCATATGAATAATGGTCTGCTGTTTTGTTTTGATTTCGGTTGTTTCCATTCTGTGATTTTGATTTCCACTTTTCTATTATTTCTTGTCTG